GTTTAAAGAACATATGTATTCCAACTTTGAACTAGCTAATTCATTATACGCAATGTCTCAACAAAAAATAAGCAAGAAAACAAAGAAACCCACTCTAAAGCTAGTTCATTGGAAAATTAAAGTAAACTTCATTCCTTCATTTAGATTAATATGGAGTAATCAACTTGTTCATCATCTCCCTGAGTAAATGAGTGCCGGAAAACTTTGAAGTTCAGGAAGAACCATGCGGGTCTCCCGACATCCAAAGCAAGGACGAGACTGATAATATTAACTTACTCCTAAAATTCCCGTAATTAGAACAAAATTTTCAATTATAAAACTCCTTAGTTGTACGATTTTTAGAATAAGTGCAGCATGACCTCCTCTTTCTTTTAGTGCAAGACCAAGCAACAGCTGAACTCGTGATATTATGTCCCCATAACCCTAAAGACTCATTTGCATCTTTCTCTTTTTTGTGATATTTTTTCTCTCTCGAGTGAAATGGGTGCAAATAAACATAACCAAAATGAATTCTCGAAGAAAAAAATGAAGAGTTCCAAAGAAGAGTACCAGAAAATGGAAAAAGAACAAGACCGAAAGAGCAACGAAAGAATCAAGACCTCCATGCAACAGAAGGGGACAGTAATTGGCTACCACAACAGCATAATACGTGAGTCCAATTATGCCAATCACAAAGACGATCATAATCGAGCCCAAGGCACGAAGCGCCGTGCAGAATTTGAAAACGTTCCACGCCATTCACAGCTCCGGATCTGCGCTCTAGTAGACAAGGAAACGGAACAAGAGGAAATTAAGCAACGACAAGTAAGACGAAAAGTATGATTTATAGGCGTGTGTGTAATTTACCAGGAATTTTCTGTGTATGCTTTCCAGTTCGGATTTTGGATTTTGATGAAATGGGTAAAAGATTTCTTTGCTGAGAACCAAAGGGGACATGAATTCTTTTACCCATATTCCTACTTGCATATTCTGTCGGCCCACGTTTACTTAGGCCGCCATGCCCTCGAATCTAAATCCAGTGGAGTCTAGGCCTAAATCTAAGTCATTCCCAGATGTCACTCCAGTTAAAATCGTGATGGTAGGTCGAATCTTACTGAATTTGGTCAATGCATAAATTTGGAAGATAAGAAATTTATTTTTCTAATTTTTTTAATAATAGCATGTTAAGCATTTCTATGTGCGTGAACGGTCCGGATCCATTCCATCCTCAGGTATGATCGGACAATCGCAATTAAACGCGATGAATTGTCCAGATTCGTTCTCTTTTTAAACGCGATCGGATGGTCGAGATCAAATCACAATGAGTAGCCAGATTAACGCGAGATAGATATGAATATTTTACATCACATCGAATCCAAACCCTAGCCACTAGTTTTTCGCCAGAGAAAAAGAATCAGTCACCGAAAAAGAGAGTCGACCAATGCTAGCCACTGCGCCAAAGCCACCTCCGATTGCTAAAAAAGGTAAAAAAAATTCTATCAACTGGGAATTTGATTCTGAGCACCCCTATGGCCAAATCAGAGTAAAAAGAATAGTGGATGAGCTGAAATTTACGAGCAAAATTCGGCGGCACCGTTGCATGCAAAACTCGTAACCGTCTCCCATGAGTCTCTTCTCGCTTCCTGTTTCGTGCGATTTTTTTACTATTGTATTCACTATTCTGTTTTCTACAGGTTGACCGAAGAAAAATACCCAGCCACGAAAGTGAGTCAGCAAAGCCGTCGCACCAAAAATTTCACCACCAGTAGGTTTCCATTTTTTAACTTTTTTGGCCAACCGAGACCCCTTAACGTATTTTCTTATAGGGAAGGGTATTAAATTGGCCAAAATTCACCGAAAATGGCCAGGCTGAGGCAAACTGCCGCTGCGCCAGTGGTGCGTCGCCAGAGCATGGCGGTGCCGCCGTGTCAGAATTCTGAAATTGGCCGAAAAAGGTTTTTTAACATCAATTTTAGATTTTGGGGGGTATTTTTAGGTATCTAAAGTGTGTTTTAATCTCCACAGAAAAATTCAAGAAACCTGGGGACCACCGGTAGGCGCAGTAGAAAGTTTGGTATTTCGTACACTAATTCGGGTAAGAATCCATTACCTTATTCTCTATTATGAAATTGAAGCTTAATAATCGACAAAATTGTATTTTGTATAATTTAGAAAACTTTGAGAATAATTATAGGTTACTAATGGAGGCGAAACCGATTAATCATTTGTTTATTGTCTTGCATAACTGGTTATTGAATTTACAACTTTAAATACATGATGATATAGTAGAATAGTTAATTGATTCAATTGTGCTTCCTTGATATATATATATATATATATATATATTGCATGTCTTGCGTGATTTACAGTTGATTTATAAAATTGGAGATTAATATGCAACGAAAAATTGTTTGGTCATGTGAATTAATGAATGGTAGCCTTATTTGATATTCTAAAAGAATGTGGACGGACCGGGTACATAGAAAATCATATCGTGAACGTTGCCTCATACCGGACGGGTTATCGAGAAATGATATTTTTGGTACTCATACCGGACGTGATATGAGAACAGTCTGATTCACTTTCATATCAGACGGGATATGAGAACGATCTGATTCACTTTCATACCAAACGGAATATTGAATGATGATATTTTTTGCGCTCAAATCGGACAGGGTATGAGAACAGCTGATTAGTTGACAATGTTAGATATTAATTCACGCGTAGTATGACATCCTTATGGGACCCTAGAGATACCAGCAGACAAATAAAAAGGAAAAATAATTATTATTACTCACTTGAAAATGAGATTGAAATGTTATTTGAATTATTGTCTCTATAAGTTAATTTTAAAAATCTTGCAACGGTAAATATATGCAATAAATAGTTTTATTTATGATAAATAAAGTTACTTAAATCAAGAATTACATTAGTTGTTTTTAATAATTTTTACCAAGATTCAATTTCTGTATTATGAGTAGTGTGATATTCTTGCTGAGCTAATGTAGCTCACCATTTTATTAATTATTTTATATCAAGAGGAACAATATTCATATCTCGATCAACAAGAAAGTTGTGAATATTCACTACTTGCACTCCCTTCAAAAGGTAGTGAAGGTCATTCTAAAATATTCAGTTATTTACCTTTTTATTTATTTCTTTAATTTTTGTTCGTTCTTTTAGAATGGATATTCTCGTAGTTTTATTGAGCATTCTAAATTCTTGTGTAAAGAATAAAAACCCTAAACTCTATTATTAGTGCGTAACCTTTTGAATTCTCACACTCTTTCTATTTCTAATGATGAGATATCATAATAGAAAAATTTTTACGTGTAATTTGGGGATCATAATCGTTTACTTATATACAAACATTATCTGTAAATTTTTTATATTTCTAATTTGACCAATTATAAAATTTAAAATTATAAATTTAGTTTCTACATATAAAAAAAATTCACATTTTAATTTAATGCATTAAGACTTAATATATCATTAAATGTGTCAGATCACTTCTAGTCGAGTTTAATTAATTTGATAATCTTTTATGTACGTATAATTTCATAAAATAAATTTAAAATTCAATTTATGAAAAAATATCAATGTTCAAGAAACAAATGAAATTCATATGCAATTTACCATGACTGACGATAAATTTTGGTTTATCTGTTAAGATGACAGATATAAACAAACATGAAATGTTTTAAATATTTTGAATCAAATATAAACAAACATGAAATGTTTTATAGCTGATTGTATTGACTTGAGGAAATGATTGTGAATGTAGAGAGGACAGAAAGAGTGAGCAAGAAACGAGCACGCGCATCAGCATGACCGCCTATGCTGCTTCAATGTCATCGTCTTCTTCTCTTTCTTCTTTCCAGAACCTGGCAGATCAACTGTGCAGACACGACAACCGCACATGATCCCAGAATCACATTAACCCCACAAAACACAAGTCAGCGATTTGAAAAACCAGAATAAATAAATAAAACAAGAGGAGGATAAAGGACCACTCTGTACCAAACAGCGCCCATATTAATTGTCGCATTTATTAACTTCACATGCTAACAATTCTTCTATCTCGGTCGCCTGCAAGTCCTCTGTTTGGATACTGAGTTGGGTGGTGGTGGGTCAAGATTTATCATAACCAATTTTTTTATCTGTAACTCTAATGGAATAAATGTGGTCGTTGCCTGTTTCTTTCACTCAGTGAGAAATTGGAATTGCCAGTTAATGTGGCTTTGCTTCTTTCCAACACTCATATATATATATATATATATATATATCAGTTTGATTCATTCTCTTTTATATCAATTTTCACTACTTGCTTTCCACTTCAATTGGATAAAGAATTGAGCACACTTATTTCCCATTATAATTACGTATCAAGTCTAGAAAGACCCATAAGTAATCCATAATTAATACGACAAAGAAAATTCTGATAAACATGAAACGTATTCAACATGGTCGATACATGTGTGTGTGTGTATATATATATGTATGTATACATTAAGCGTGCAAGCTAGTTAGACAAAGAGATTTTCGTTTGATTGATGGAGAATGTGTGATTGGACTTGGTAGGTTGCAGCAAATTTATTATTTTCTCAAGAGTCTTCATGGGACCAAATACTTTCCATGGTGTTGCATTATTTAGCTAGAAAATTCGACTGTTCCATTGCATCAAGTAATTATGAG